AGACTTTTTGAAGCAAAACTGACTTGTTCGTTTGGTGGCATGTAAATGAAGCCATCCATTCATTTGACCTCGCACTTCCTTAGATCACCCTTATTATTTGCCGGTGACCCAATCTTACCTTCTTACTTGCACATGTAGGTATTTGATTTGGTGGAACTCGTTTCAACCTAGCAACGTATCTGGATAATTCATAAGGCCTAACAGGTCGCCCTGATAAATCAGAGTGAATCATTACTTGCTCTCTTGATTTAATAAGAATTCAACTCTGAATTCGGATAAGATATTTAAAAATGTACAAAACAAATGATATCTCTGTCTTGTCTCGAAGTATCGTTAAGCTCTCCTCAGGCGGAAATGCCAACTGCGTCCTCCATTGATTATATTATGAGTGGCTTATAACTTGGTGAGCACCCACCGTGTCAACACGTAGTAAATCAATCGTTTCAAGATACGTGAGATCCTTCACATTTGTCGTTTCCAGTTACGATATGTTTTGGTTTTCTTTAATTCCTTGAAGAGCGTCATATTATAGTTATCTTAGACAAATGACGGTATGTTGTGGTTACACCAGATGATTTTCTCTGACATATTTTCGATCCTTTAGGTATTTAAATCTTCCGAAAAAGGGCTGTTAATATTTGTTGTTTAAAGTTTTTCCCTAAACATGTCCTGCAGAAGTTGAAAGTGAAGTTGACATAATGATACAACATGGCACTCTGAAACAACCAAACAGTTTGTTTCAAAGGGACTCGATAGATTCAACTTGGAATTAATCGCTGATCTCAGTCGTCAGCAAAATCGACACAATTCAGTTTATTTACAGAACAGAAAAAGTCGTATTCAAGAGTTCCCTTAAGCTTTCTTGATCAATCATAGAAAACATCAATCACACTTCACAAGAAAAATTCGCAAAGACTGTTTCGTACAATCTGGTACAGCTTGCATTCCAAACCGTTCAATTTCTCTGCCATTTTCCCAGGTCAGTGACAGTGAAAAATTTTGTTGAGCAGAAGTACATTGCTGACAAATAGAGGATGCAGCTACAATTATGAAATCTCCAACATTACAACGTAAATTGCGTAAAAACGTAAATGTATTTAACTGATAAAATTAACAATTTCTGATATTTTTTCTGCAAATAAAAAAATTGTACCATTCGTTTTTTAACCAACGAAATCTACATATGTACAACAGTGTCATCGCTCTACGGCATTGTGATGATTTCTTATAGTGTTTAATACCTTACTCAGAAATATGAGTCTGTGTCTGCTACAGATATGAAGTTTGTGTGCTGTGGCTTAAGTTTAGGTTGAAGTTTGGGCGTGGAAACCCAAACGTCAATATCTACTGTCATTTCTAAAGCACATCGTAAATCTGGGTTGAACTCTGGTTTAAGCGACGGTACTCTAAAATGCAGAAAACAGACCCCTGATACTTGAGTTGTGCAGAAGGCAG